CTGCTCCAAAGCAGTTTTCTGATGGTTTGGGGGAGCTGGAGCTTGAAAGGGTGAAAATATGACTCTAAACATGAAACCACATTCTTTCTTATTTCCTTTCACTATCTAAATCTTGTTGAAATGCTCCCATACTTTCCCCAAATATAGCCTACATACTTTAGAATCAATTCAGATAGGTGGGGGAAGCAGTTGTGAGGGAAGAAAAAAAAATATAACTTGATGTATGCAAAATGGCATGTTGTGCAACTGGTTTGTATAAAGATTCATGCACCAAATAGCTCTTTCCGAGGTCTGTTCACAAAAACTTCTTCAATCACTGAGAAAACTATTCCAAATGATTCTATTCCTTTCTGGGATCCCCCCAATGTCTTTGTTTTGTTGGCGCGTTGCATCGCCAATGAGCGCGGCGCAGTGCGTAGTTTCAGATGGTGTGTGAATAATGCGCTCCTTCCATATTAGGTTGCCGCTGGCCCATATTTGGTAAGGCGGGCTGCCAGAGTTGTTCTACTTCTAAAAACTAAATGGTGCACACCTCAACTATCTGACCTCCAATTCAGTGGATCTTTCTTTTGTATTATGAGGATTTGTCATGGCTACTAGCAGGACCTTTCATCGATATTGTGCGTTGATTTCTTGACAATATATTTCTTGTTTCTGCAAATCACATATTCCAAGCCATTGCATGTTTCAGTTCACATGGATGGATGATCTGGGCACCAGCTTAAAAATGCTGTAGTGGATTGACTCCTCTATCTTGAATAAATGCTTCGCCAGAGCTGACATTGAATTTTGAATGCCCCATCGGAGTCAATCAAATGCCCCGCGGGAGTCAACATTTTGAATTCTCAATTCCCTGTCAGTGTCAATCAAATGCTCTGCCACAGTCAATAAAGTGCTCTGCTAACTTGACGTATTCAAGATCATGCCACAGATGACCATATTGTGGAGGTCATGTTTTCAATTTCAAGGTCAAACACCCTGATGGGGCCATTGCCGACAGTGCCTTCAATCTCAACCTCAAACACCCCGACGGCAACATCCTCTGTGGTGCTTTCAATTTTAATGACAAACACCCCAACAGAGACATCCCCCGCGGCACCTTCAATTTCAATGTCAAACACCCTGATGGAGACATCCTCCGCGGCGCTTTCAATCTCAACCTCAAACACCCCGATGGTGACATCCCCCGTGGCACCTTCAATTTCAATGTCAAACACCCTGATGGTGACATCCCCCGCGGCGCCTTCAATCTCAACCTCAAACACCCTGACGGAGACATCCTCTGTGGCGCTTTCAATCTCAACCTCAAACACCCCGACGGTGACATCCCCCATGGCACCTTCAATTTCAATGTCAAACACCCCGACGGAGACATCCCCCACGGCACCTTCAATTTCAATGTCAAACACCCCGACGGAGACATCCCCCGCGGCACCTTCAATTTCAATGTCAAACACCCTGATGGTGACATCCCCCGCGGCGCCTTCAATCTCAACCTCAAACACCCCGACGGCGACATCCTCCACAGTGCTTTCAATCTCAACCTCAAA